ATTGTACAGTGGCATTAAGTGCCGTAATGTGCACTTCTGCAAACCTTCGGAGATGAAAACGCGTGATGTTATGTTATGTAATTCAACGAAGATAATAAAAACCGCTGTTGCATCTAAGGGCAAAAGCTAAAGGTCTATAAAAATACATTTGAAAATGAAAACAACGAAAAATTTGCCCGATACATACACAAACACATTAATATACTTCATTTCATTACACACACGTAGCCAACACAGCCGAAGGAATTCACTATGATGGCCGCGTACAAAATGGTGTATTTATGTTATTTCTACGTCTACCTACTGCCCGATATAAGCTTTTCAACACATTTCCGAGTAATTTATTAAAATAAACATTATATTATGGTTGTTTTTAATGACGAAGAGGTTATTGCAGCTTTCTATTACGTCGTTCTTCCAAATATAGGATTAGGGCAATAGTTGAATATTTTCCTTGGTCAAAATAAATGCTTTTCTCTAAAATATTTACAAAGTAGCTCTTGCAATTTGCTTCGCTCGCTTTCTAGGAGGTAAAAAGTTCCAAAAGTTCCAAATTTCATCCTGGACTTTTCAGTCATTTAGAAGTGACTAATTAACAAAACACGCAAACTCACAAATATAGTACAAGCTCATTTTTTTCCCGTTTATAGTTAACTAGCGACCCGCCCCGGCTTCGCACGGGTGCAATATGAATGTATTATACATACAAACCTTCCTTAAGAATCACTCTATCGAATAAAAAAAACCGCATCAAAATCCGTTGCGTAGTTTTAAAGGTCTAAGCATACATACGGACATACAGCGAAAGCGACTTTGTTTTATACTATGTATTGATAACGTTTCAAGTTAATTTTGACTATCAGCCTTACAGTTACAGCGTAATGTCCATTAACTCAAAGACAAAAGCATTTATTTCAATTAAACCATAATTTGGTACTTTTGAAACGTCAACAAATATAAAATAAATAATAGTCTGTCAGTCAGTCCGTCAGTGAAGGTAGGCACATCGGGCAACGTAACATTCGACAGACTAACAACGTTTGGTACAGTTGTTGTGTCTAGGAATCGAGCCGCATATTAAGTGTGTTTTTAATGTATATACTTTTCGGGATAAAAAGTGTGATGCCCAGGATATAAAAGTATAATCATACCAAGTTTCATCGTAATCACACTGGTAGTTTTTGCGTGATGGACTTACTTCTCCTGTTTTCCCAACATTTCCCTTCACTGCTCAGCTCATATTGATTGTAGCGTGATGAATAGTATACTATAACCAGCTCAGAAGTATAAAAACAATTGTACAAAGTTTCGTTAAAATCCGTCGAGTAGTTTTTGTTTTTATTACGGTTATACAGACAGACAATAATTTTACTGATTGCATTTTTGGCATCAGTATCGATTCCCAATCACCCCCTGATAGTTATTTTGATATATATTTCATGTACAGAATCGACCTTTCTACAGATTAATTATAAGTATAGATAATCACAGTTTCATTATTTGATTTTTTTATGGCATAAGCCGGTAAACGAGCAGACGGATCACCTGATGGTAAGCAATCGGCGTCGCCCATGTACACCTGGAACACCAGAGGCGTTAGAAGTGCGTTACCGGCCTTTTGGGGATTAGGACCTCAGTCACCTCAGTCACCTGACCTCAGGACCTCACTCACACGACGTCGTGTGAGTGAGAGTGCCATTTTACCCTCCCCTTCCCCAGTCCCCCAATCCCTGAATCCCTCACAATCCTCAAATTCTCAATTCCTAAAAGGCTGGTAACGCACTTGTAACGCCTTGGGCCTTGGTATTTCAGGTGTCCATGGGCGGCGTCGATCGCTTACTATCAGGTGATCCGTCTGCTCGTTTACCGGCTTATGCCATAAAAAGTCTTTACATAAACTGATAAAAAATCACTGCATCATGCATTTAACCACCGTCTCTCTATTAACCCTTAACTCGTTGAGTACCGTCATTATAGACACAAAATTATAGAACAATAGGTTGCGGTCACCGGTGACCGCTCGGTGTTTGACAGTTTAATATCACGCGTCACAAATCTCAGTACAATAAACAAAAAATTTAAAAAGTTAAAACCATAAGCTAAAAGTTTACAATGTAATTGAACTTGCACAGTCCACCATCTAATCAACTACACAACTTGATTTAAACCTTATTCTTTTCAGTATTAAGGGTGATTTGTGCATCTCAAGAGATCTAGTATATATCACATCTTAATATCAATCTTATTTCTCTTGAACTTAAGGATGATTTTCCTACTTTTAGAGTTGTAGTACTGCTGTGTTGGTATTCTCAGAACGGTCAACTAGGTCCATTTTTAGTTAAGTAAGCAAAAGGCTATAAAGTATTGCACTGAGCTTGTTTAAATTTAGCAACGTTCAAGGAGTTCGTTTCCGGCGGTGATATGGCGTTAATAAGCATAACATCACGCCTTTTATCCTCGAATATGTAGGCAGAGGTGCACATTACACGGCACTTAATGCCACTGCACAATGTATCACCCACTTTACACTATTTTATGTTATGAGTCCCATGTAATAGGGGGTGAGCCTATTGCCATATACCGAGCACACTTTCAGACTCCGTGCAAACACTGAGGTTTTATTAAATCTAGTAATACTTTGCCCGACTTAGGAATCGAACCCGAGACCCCTTGCCGGACAGTCGCACTTGCGTCTACACGGCCAACAGGCAGTATGGCGTTAATAAGTGTTTTAAACTAGTTCTCGAGCCGGGCAAAGTACATTTTTACACGATTTCTACCCGGTGGTAGGCAATCGGGCTCTTTTAGGGTATTCCTATGCTTTGATCTCACTAGATGAAGCAATCATCACCGTCAAATCAAAATTGTTGTCGTGTAGCAACACTAGGATCAGTTTCAAAAATGGAAAAAAACTTACTATATTTTTTTGGTGTCTAATAGTTAGATAGAAAATCTCATCTTTACTTAAATTCATGTCAAAAATTGAGAGTTTACAATTATCATTACACTTTTTTTGTTAAAAAAATGTTTCCTCACACTAGGACTTTCTCCCGTGTCGTGGGTGCGATGACAAACATACAAGTTTACATACACATGACACTCGGACCCGGAACAACAATCTGTGGATCACACAAAGAGTTGCTCCGCGCGAGTGGTGCGGGGATCGAACCCGCGACACATTGCGTGGCAGCCGGTTGCCCAGCCACCACACTAACCGTGTTGTCTATATGACATATAAGCACATATATAATAAAGAAGAATATTTCTGTGCATATAAGTCAAGTCTTAATTGAAGATAATCCCAAACTATACTTTTATGCACAACTAAAGACTAATCTAATCATCTTCTTCCATTACTTCAGTCACAGTCTGGATGTCACCAGTTAAATCTAGATTTAGCCTAGACATTTAACTTCCTAAGTCCGAGGACGTGTTGTTTAGTTTCATGATAGTTCCTGTCTAGATTAGCGGTTTAAATTAAGTAAAGAGTTTTACATGTGCTCAAGACATTATGTAAAGTCGCGGAGTACCTAACAGGTAACCGGGGCTCTGGCTCGACGTGCAGGAGAAGGAACGGGGTGGTTTTTAGTCAGTAAGAGTCTGACACTCCCTCCCGCCTCACCCAGGTGGGAGCAGTCATTCGATGATTTTCCCCCTTAAAAAAAAGACATATGTAGATAAATGTTGTTGGTTAGTGTCAGAACTCGTGTGACTGTTGAGAAAAGGAAGATTCCCGTGTCGGGCCAATTGGTATCGGCTTTTGTTAGTACTTAACATCACAAAATCTATTACTGCGTATATAATTATGTCTACGTAACATGTTTTTTAATGGGACAAGCCCGCCACAACCTCCCAAAACCGCTGCAATTCCTGTAAGCCAGGATCTACAGTAGATGCAACCATGAAAACACCGGAACACTGAAGTCCGGCGCGTCCCAAGGACATGAATAACTGTCTTGGTTCCCGCAACAAAGTGAATCAGAAG